TTTCCCCTAGCGCCCCCTGGCATAACAAGGAATAATGGCCACAAGTTGTTGGAGAGTAGGTTTAGATTAGACATCCGTAAGAACTACTTCACAGTTAGGGCGGCTAGGAGCTGGAACCAACTTCCAAGGGAAGTGGTGCTGGCTCCTACCCTGCGGGTCTTTAAGAGGAGGCTTGGTGCCTACCTAGCTGGGATCATTTGAGCCCAGTTTTTTTTCTCCTGCCCTGGCAGGGGTCAGACTTGAAGATCTATAAGGTCCCTTCCGACCCTACTTCTATGATTCTATGATAATATACTTCTCACAAATAATTAAAAGTTAAGGTGGGGACCATTGGAAATTTTTGTGCAAACTACCCTTCTATTTAACAGAAACTTCTTCCCATGCATTCCAATTCGTGTACAGCTTGGAACACAAGATGCTGAACCTAAAAATTTCACAAAGATAAATAACTGTGGAAGAGATAGCAAGATGGAGAAAGGCACACTGACAAATAATGACAAAGGCAAAATTACTGCATATTTTTTTGTTTGAAAAGTTGCTAGTAATTGAATTACTACACTATATAAATGGTAAACAAACACGGCCAATACCTCTCTAATACACGTCACTTAATGCAAGTTAAGGCTGAATTACTGGCAACAAATCAGTGAACATGATGGTTCAAATGATTAGCTCCTGCTTACAAGTATTTTATAGAACATATTGGTCCTAACCTTTCCCCAAGGAGAGTCCCATGAGGGCTCTCCTGGCTTGGAAGATTTCCACAAAGCAAAATCATTTGGGGAACGTTTCTCACTCAAACGATCAGCAGAGATGCTCAAGTCACCTGTCAAGAAAAAAAAACTGGTTAACTATTTATATTTTATTTAAACATTAACTTTATATACTCCTGGCTCTGCCATAATTTTCAGCTGAATGTATCTAAAACATACACTCAAAATTTACACACAACAGTAGTAAATGACTAATAGATGGGTCAATGGTTGTCAGCTGTAATACTTCTCTGAAGCCTGGAAGCATGCAACTGAACAACCATTCCCTCACCTGGCACAAGCAGAATATTACATTTAAAGGGGAAACAAGCCTAAAACAAACCCTGTGTTAAAAGAACATTTAGGTTGGCAAAACCAACAACTCAGAAGTTAGGAAATGCAGGAATAAGGTTGCCTATGCAACTGTTAATTCAGTCGTTCATGCATCTTTATTATGATACAGATAGGTTTTCCACCACATCAGTCTTTAGCATAACTGTCTAATGAAAAGATATTGCACCCGTTTCACTTGGCAGAAGCAATATTTATAATGTAAAGGACAGTTCTCAATATGTAAGAGAGCAAGTTCACTCCCAAGAATACCAGATAACCCAGTGGTTAGCCCCACCCCCCATTTGAGATGTGGAAAGTACAGTTTAAGACCACTGTTCAGTCAGTTTGGCCTAGTTGAGAGCCCCAATCACTGGTCAATCTTGACCAGTGGTTGACCACTGGTCTCCAATTTTGACCAGAAATACCACTTTGGGCATAAGAAACCTTTCTGGCAAAAAGTTACAACTGATACATTGCTGTGAAAAGTTCCGATATTGGTGAATTGCAGTTTTCTGACAAAAATCTATTTATCAGAAAGTTTTTGACCAGCTCTCCTGAATCCTGGAAAACAATCTGAGCAGTAAGAGAAGTGCAAACTGCATTCTGGTGGGGAGTCCCATCCATATATATCTCCAAGGGCAATCGGTAGGACTTAAAATGCATATATACATGCATTGTTAGTCTTACCCATATACAATGTATATATAGTAAAATCTGTTATCTGGCATCCCTGGGGTAAGAGGACTGCCAGTTATGTAAAAATTCCAGTTATTTGAAACCCCCCAGCAGGGGTTTTCAGATAACGCAGAGCAGAGGGGGGTGAGAGGTCCACAAGCAAAGCTGGGGAGGGGAAGCGTGGTGGCGGCTACCCGTGGAGCAGTGGCAGCGCAGGGTGGTGGCAGCTGCCATGGTGTGCAAGCTTTCCCTTGTGCTTCTCTTTGCATCCAGCTGGCTGTCTGGCCGGAAATTCTGGTTAATGGAATTTCTGGTTAGTTAAATGCTGGATAGCGGAGATTTTATTGTATACATGCATTGCAAGCCTTACCCACATACAATGCATACATACAATATATGCATTGTAAGTCTTACAGATATATATTTACCTTCACCCTCCTGAAGAGCTTTTTGATCCCCTACAGCTTCAGGAACCAACTTAGCATAGGAGTGTTTTCCAGAGGCATCAAACTTCACTGTATCAAAGTAGACAGATCCATTTGACACGTAGCTAGAAGGTAAAAAAATATTTTAAGTGAAGCTTCATTAGCATAAAATTAGGTTCCCGCAAGATATGTCACTTATAGCTCAAAGAGGGTTGTCACCTAAGAAGTTAGGTACTGCTCACCATGAGCAAAGGTGATTTCAGGTGACTTAATTGTACAGATTTAGGGCAAAGGCATTTGGCAAAAACAAGAAAAAGCCACAGTAGATGTGCCATGAAAAGATCAATTAAAATGTATTTATTACACATATTTTCAAAAGATACAAAATCACCCTAGTAAGCATTAATTCTTTACACCTCTTGATTTTTTGCAGTAACCTAACCATTAAAAAGTATATTTATTTTATAATTAATAGTGTCTTTGTCTGTTTGGCTAACACTGATATGGCTTTTATGGGGCAGAATAAATCAGCCTTGGAGTTTTATTTCTCTGCCTGAAAACCTCCAAGAAGGTCTAGGACTCTTGTGTTTACTTTCATTTTTCCTGTGCAGCCTTTATGATTTGGGCATAAGGCACAAAAGGTTTTGAGCCAAGCATGTTAGACACCCCATGGCAAATATTGGCTACAGCATTTGTTCCAGAACATCCAAGGATGTTCAGTGTACTGTTTAGGATTCTTCTGTGATGCAAATACTATCATATGGTAAATCTGAGAGCTAGTTTATGCTATCAATAGAAAAATTACCCAATCCAATCTTTTCAAATGAGAATGCCTAAAGTTAGGTTCCTACACTGATATTTAGGGCAATTATACAGAAGCAGTTAAATTCTCAAACACATTAAGCAACAGGAGTAGTTGAGAAAAAACAAACCCAATGATCTGAAAATTGTGTCACTTCTATTTTTATATCTAAATCTAGATTTAAACAGCTTACTTTATACATCAATATTTATGCATCAATATCTGGAAATCTTCACCTAAGACTAAATGTGAGATCCTAACCCCACTGAAATTAATAGGAATTTTGCCACTGCCTGCAGGTGGGCTAGGATTTCACCCTATAATTTCATGATCTAAAGCAGCGGTGTCAAATTAATAAAAAATAAAGTAGCTCAGGGCTGGTGTGTGGGCCAGGTCAAGCCCGCAGACCAGCCTTCTGGGCCAGATCCAACATGTGTGTCAGAACCAGCCCTGCATGTTGCATACAGTGAATGGAGCTGGTCCAGCACATGCCACATGTAGCATATAGATCCAATACAAACCCCCTGGGCAGTACTGCAGGCCAACTGATAGAGCTGCATAGGCCAGATACAGACTGTGGGCTATACCTCTGACACCCCTAATCTAAAGCCCCCATTTTTAAAAGAATATGGAAACCAGGCTGACCCAAAAACTGCACTGGGCTCAAAGACACAACAGACTCTGCTTGAATACGGTCTCTTACTGTTCCTTCCAAAAACAGAGCAGGCAATTCACAGTATTATACTAAAAATGTTATTCAGTTACAGAGCTTTGCATGTTACAAAAGCATGACAAAAGATAATTAAAGTAAATAAAGTAAATTAAAAGTTACACAGAAAAAAACCTGCACTTACCCATAACCATTTTCCATAATCCTCTTAACAAATTCCACAATTTCTGGTACATATTCACTAACCCGAGTTAAGACATCAGGAGGCAACACCTAAAAACAGCAATATCTATAGGTGTATGTATGCCAGGAACACCATATCTCTCATCATCAATTAAGTTGCACTACTTTTGTTGAGGTAACTATTTATTTTAGAGGTGAAGAAACTGAGACAGACAAAGATTAAATGACTGACTCAAAGATACAGTACAAGTGCCAGTCAAAAATAGAACGTAGGTATATTAACTCCCAGTTTCCTGCTATGGACCTTGACAGTACTATTGGGCCTTTCTCCTACTTGGAGGCCTGGCTGCTGCAATACTCAATTCATGACCTCTCTACATGGAGGAGCAATATTTCCCTCCGGAATTCTGATCTGCTTTGCAGACAGAAGAATAGCTTTTGTTTATGTAAACCTCTAGATAGGAGATAGTACTCAACTATAACAGCTGGGGAAAAGCTTGTTTATTGTTATCAGAGTCAGTTTAAACTTCTTAGTTATCCTGGGATGGTGAACAGGCAAGCAAATGGTCATATTAATGTAGCCAGAAGTCTTAGCTATAAATCTTAGTGTCCTGGCTCAGCTGGTAAAATTGGGTGGCAAAGGCAGATATTGGCAATGGTAGGTAAAGGAAGATGGACCTACAAAGTATCCATTCCAATATGTCTGGCCACTTCATCTCCAGTGGTAGGAGGGGGGTGGAGACATGCAATTTGAAGTGCCTGATTTCCAGACAGCTGGCATTGCTGTTAATTTAAACACTTGCACATGGGCTACCTTAAGGGAAAGAGGAGAGCAAGGTCTTGAGATGCTGATTTTAATACTGACTTACTCATTACAAATTTAAAAAAAAAAAATCAAGACGGATAAGGCCTAAAGGCCTTCTGCAACCACTGAAGTGATGTGGAATTTATTTTAGTGCCATCCAAGACAACATTGCATATTCCTCACCCATAGAAAGTTTTTAAATATTTATCTTTGCTTTTGCTGATACAGCTTGTCTACTTACATTGAGGGCTTCCATGTCTTTATGATACTCTGCTTCCCAGAATTTGGGGAGCTTGGAGAATATAGAATTGTCAGTCACCTGACTACCAAACTTGATATCCAGCCAGTCAGACAACAAATCTTTTGCTTCTTCCACCAATGTCTATAAAATGAAAGTGATATACGTGAAACAGTTCAGCACTTCACAATATGTCAAATCTATAAAAAGGCCTAAGTTAATAAGCAAGAGAAAAACAGCTCTCTTTGACTATGAAAAGAGAGAAAATAATCCTTGGTTCTATCATATGTTGTTACCATGCTGCTTTTCATGTATTAGGAGTAAATAGGACAGAGGTAGTAATTGATATCTGGAGAGTTATAACTGCCTTCTGGTTAAACAGTGGTACTTTTTTAGAAATAAGGGAGTTTGCATTTTGCTGATAACCAAGACAAATATCATATAATAAAATAGAGATAATTCTGTAGAAAAGAAAAAGGAAAAGAAAAAGAAAAAAAAAAGATATGCTGCAAATGCCACAAACAGAAAACAACTAGAGTTTTCCCACTTGTACACCTTAATTATACTGTTAATGCTGAGGGCACAGCTAGCATGAGGCACATCCTGGAAATCAGCCTTAAATAAATATTCACTTTGGTGTCCTAAACATATGTAGGTATCACATACCTTAGTATCTGGATGTACTCTACAAGACAGACAAAAATGGACACATTTTTTCCAAAACAGGAAACATACCCTCTGTGTCTCCTGTAGTTGATACACCAAATAGCTTTAAACTGAGGAAATACTAACTGGAAGACTAAGTACCAAAAGAAATTAATTACAGTAGCTCTTGCTGTTATCGGGGATAGTTTAAAGCCAAACAACAGGTATATTTTTTATAAACATTAACAGGCTTTGAATCAGACCTTATATAGGACATTTTTAATAATTTGTGCATAGATATGATGGTTTTTGAGGCATTAAATACTTGAGCAGCATAGCAACAAAACTGTCAAAGATATGTACCTGGGCATAATACACAAATATATGCAAAAGCCTGTGATTGCATGAGATAAAATTCTGCATGGGAAAGCTGGAAATAGTTGAACTGAGACAGCTAGTCAACAGACAAGAACAAGCAGGTGCTGCAGGGTTTTGAGGCATATTTGAACAGCACCCTGAAGCTATCTGCCTAAGTTTAGGCATACAAATTTACTGAGAAAAACGTTAAATACTGGGAGAATGAGGTCTCTCTCTAATACCATTTCTATTAAAAGGCACATCTACAAAATGTGATTCAGAAAATAAGTTACAAGGCAAATGTGATTTTAGAAGCCATTCATACAAACCTTGGCATGTTTGCTGATCTCTTCTCCAAGGACTCTCTCACTCACAGCTTTTTCTAGAGGCTCCACAGCAGACTTCACTGTATTCTGAATTCTTTCTAGCATTTGCCTTTTATCTGGGTCAGTTGTCTCATTTAATTTGACTGAAAAAGGCTATAAGAAATAATTATGAAATAATTCACAGTGTAAAAAAGTTCTATAAAGGAAGTTAACTTCCTTTGTGATCTCCTTACATACACTGCACTTAAAATACACTACTTATGTATTCTACAGGCAAAATATTTTCTAGGAACAGAATTCTATATTTACCACACATAGCAGTTTACTCTACATATAGTCACTTTAAATCAAATCATAGGCAGAAAAAAGGCTGAAGCACCTGACTATTAGTTTAAGAGTCCAAAAGGACAAAGAAATATATAACTATGTCCTTTCACATACAGTAAGTCTGAATAAACACACATATCACCACATTTATTCCTCTTTATAAAACTTTACAAAAATATAATTAGAGGCAACCCCAACTTAATGCAGTTTTGCTTAGCGCTATTTTGCTATAGTGCTTATTTAAAAGTCATACCTCATTCCACTGAGCGCTCAGCCAGTTTCGTTATAGCGCTCAATGGAATCATCAAGTTTCAGTGGGTGGGCAGGGGGTGGGGAGAAGTGGGGGTGGTGGCAAACAGCAGTGAGTGGCAGCGAGTGGGCAGGCATGAACGCGGGGCCCGTGCCACTTACCTGGGCTCAGGGCTGGCATGTAGTGCCAGAACGGGCAGTGGGTAGGTGGGGAGAAGCAGCAGTGAGAAGTGGTGATTGGCAGCAAGTGGGCAGGGCAGAACAAGTTATATTTATTTACATTAATTTCTATGGGAAACTGGGTTTCACTTAGCACAGTTCTGCTTAAACCTTGTTTTTTCTGGAACCAATTAAGAGTGCTAAACAGGGATTTCCAGTACTGCTGTTTACCATTTTCCATTGAGTTTGCTGCTTTCTACAAAAGTGGGTAAGCATTTTATAAATGGTATATAATATGGGATAATATGGATCATGTTGCTTTTTAAAGATTATGCTTAAAATGACAGTAGATATGCAAGAGTCAGGAAGAGTATGCAAGTCTTCTGACTCCAGCACTGCATTCAAATAATTAGATTCAGAAATACTAGTCTTTTATTTATGAACTACATAAAAAACAGTCAAAGAATCATCCCCTCAACCCACTGTAACCTTTAAAACCCAAGAACTGTAGCTCTTCCAAGTGCTCTCACTCGTAATGTAATGTAACTTGCATATTAGTGCAAAGCAACATGAACATCTTCATAAATATCTTTTACATATGGTCTTCCCTCAAGTTTATGCATTTGTTTGTAAAAAGCTCAAACAGTCTTTTAGAAAATATTCAAATTTTTTCCTCAAAATACACACACACGCACGCATGCAGATTAGCTATAAAAATACAAAATAAAATGTACAATTTCACACACAAATCTATGGTGAATTTTTGGCTCTTATTTAAACACTGGTAGAAAATCCTACTAATGGAAAGCTTGCATCACTTTCAGCAGTGCAGTATCAGCAGTTTTTCTAACTCTGGTCCTGATTCAATAAAGTACTTAAAGCAAATGTATAATTATAAGCATATAAGTAGTTCCACTGAAGTCAACACAACTATTCAGCAATACACATACATTGCTAAAGAGAAGCCTAAGTTACTAGGAGAGGAAAAATTGTGAGCTTACCTCTGAGGCAGTTTTAACATCTTCAAGCAGCTGAGCTACAGATGGCTTTTTCTCTATATATTGTTCAAAAAGATAGTTTTGTCTTGCTCTCTTGATGATCTAGAAGGGAAAAACATGAAGAATGTATTTCTAGAATTTATAAATATATGAACAAAATGTGCAGACACAGACCAAAATACAAATACAAATGCTTTTTGTACCATCACCCTTAGCAAAACCCCTCTAATTCAACAGACTAAAAGAGCTACATATTTTATTAACAAAACTAAAACACATCATTCACACCCAGGAAATAACTGATAATACAGAAAGACAGCAAAACAAATTACCTTTGTAAATTGATTAGCCTATGTTTTGCTAAAGGCAGGCTATTTAGATTAGTGACCAAAATGAATGTCACTGTGAAAGAGACTGCGATCAGGCTGCAGAGTGTAATTCATATCCCATCTCACCTAACAGATAAGGTACAATCCATGAACATGACTTACTTTATCATCAATATCTGTAATATTCATACAGTAGAAGACATCATATTTAAAATAATCCCTCAGCACTCTTCTCAGGATATCAAATGAGATATATGACCTGAAAAAACCCCAAGAGACAGAACTTTTACTTAGTGGATACCTCAGACATGCATGGATGTAAAAACTATGCCTATTCCAAAGTCAGTAAATCCAGTTAGAGCTGCTATGGTAACTTTACCTCATTCCAGATTAGAAACAGGTTTTATATTGCATGATCACACTATAAATGGTACCGTTCTTTTTCCATTCTATAATACTCAAATGGCTCTCTAGTGACACACCCATTTTGCACATCTGATGAAGTGAGCTCAGGTTCATGAAAGCTCATATTACACATCTCTGATTTAGTTAGTCTATAAAGTACAAATCTACCATGCTTTCTGTCTATACATTGATTGACATACTGCTGGATATCTTCAGCTCTCATTTAATAAATTGATTAAAGTAAAAACTGTTAGTATTTTGCCAAAGTAAGAAACTCTGTGGTACCTAGCATGTCCCATGTGAGAGGCATCATACACTGTTGGGCCACAGCAATACCACGTAACCTTTTTGCCATCTTGGGGCTGAAAGATATCCTTAATTGAAAAGAAACTTATGATGAGCAAAGAATTGCAGGCATATCACTTCAGCAAAGCAACATCAGAATAGAGGCACACCAAAGTGAATTTGCAATACAAAAAAGACAAATTACACCCTCAGTTTTACTGGAGGAAAAGAACATTGCTACCGTCACAATCTACAAGCAAGATGCTCATTGCTCACTCTCCTTCACTTAGAGAATAATCTGCCTGTGATTATTTCAACTAAGACGTACATTAATTGCAATCTATAAAATATGATAGCACATCGAAAGAATTGGATGGTCAGATCTTTATTCAACCCTTAGGAAACATTGCCCAAGTATCTGAAGGGAAGTTAAGTTCTTGTTTACATGGATTACTTTTTTTTAGCGTATCCTCAAGTGTGAATTTAAACCAGCATAGCTGAACCTTCCATTTCAGCAATTTATTCTTGTATAACATAGGTTTTAGTCCTCCCTCCCTCATTACCCTCTTATTAGCTTATCTTGCTTTGCAAATTGTTTAAAGTGAACCATGAAAAAATCCATGCAGATCAGAAGAGCATACGCACTGAGACTATATTAGCCTAATAAGTAAGAATTTCTCAAGTGGACAACACTAAAGACAGAAATTCTGCTTTGATTCTGTTCTGGGTACACTGTTCATAGAAAATATTTTCAAATATAGTAAAATGACTGAACCACCAGAATATATATTTTAAAGGTGGTAGCATGTTGTAACCTAAGTTATAGCAAGCACTTTAATATGTAGGTATTACATATTGCAAACATATTAGAGTGAAATAGGATCTTTTGGACCTATTTATATGATTTTGTTGAATATCACTCTCTAGCTTGTTTGACACAAAAGCTTATTTGTAGCCAAGGAAGCCCTTAAAAAAAAAGTCATTTGACACCTCTACAGAAACCCCTGCATTCTTTCAATCAGTCACCTTATTGCGAGTAAGGCTGTTGTAGAGGCAGAGCTTTGAATGCTTTGTTCCTTCAGGGGCATACCAGGGAGGCTGCACACGCCTGCCTTTACCTAGAAAAGAAAAGAATATAAAGAAAACCTCAATACAACCTTAACAGAACATCACTGACAAACACATGGATTTGTAGTAAAGGAATTTCCCCACCATATTTTTTTTCTTTTAAAATAATAACAGCTTCATTCAAAATATCCTACAATAATTATATTAATTAGATTTTCCTACAGCGCAGGTAAAAAGGGGTAACTTATTCCACACAAGTTCATGTTCTACTCTTTTTCCCTGCCATCATTTTAAGTCCCCCTTTCAAAATGTAATCTAAAAGCCACAGATTTTTTTTTAAAGAGAGAAATCACAATACAGTATTCTTTCCAGGTTTACAAAGGTCCAGAAGTTCAGTTAACTACCACAAAGGTACTGTATATAAGCTCTTAGTCTTCAAAAAGTTCTGTAATTCCACCTTAATAAGACCATGTATCTTATGACCTGTGATATTTAGAAAACAAATTGTATCAAGTCTCCAAGCCAATATTGACAGAGCACATGTATTTAGTGAGTGAGACGAAGCTAGAGAAAGAGGAGTGTAGAGTTTTGAAAGAGCTTTGGCATTTCATGACACAGTACTGCTATGTACACAGAGCACCCCCATTTACTACAAAAGTCTCTAATGGAAGCCCTGCTCAGTACCTAGCTAGCTTGACTAGCATTAAAATACAGTTAGTGTGCTTTTGGATGACAGGACAGTTACAGCTAGCCCTCTACAAATCACTGCCAGGCAACATTCAAGACTCCTTCAAAAAGAAATACTCTGTCTCTACCTGGCTAGTAGTTGGACATACCTTTTATACCAGCTGAGCATAATCCTTAGAGGAAGCAGTGTACCTGCCATATTGATAGGTGGGTATAACCATTTGCGATCCTTTATGCTATACAGAAATCCTACCCTTGCTGCTGGATTGGAGGAATTAAAAGTGTCCCCCTTATTCTTAGTTTAAGTGAAGAAAGCAGCATTCTCTCTCTCTTTTCTACTATACTTTTAAATGTTATATCAACTTTCCTATTATACTCTGATGTACTTAAAACAAAACAGTACTGAAGAATCATCCCACCAAGGAGTTGCAGTGTCCTGTTCTCCTCTCTACCATCCTGCCCAACACACTTGGCTGAACACCAAGGATAATCCACATACATTCGTTACACATTCACCTATTGTCAAAACTAGAATAAAAACATAGAATATCCATAAATACAAGTTTTTTTTCCATCCCACTAAGTTCACTACAGCCTTTAAGAATCTGTGTGGTATGTGATTTATTTGCAACTAAAAAAAGTTATACAATAGCTTGTAATTTCTACTGTCAATATGGCTTTCATGCTGTGTGTCAGGATGCTCAATGCTCACTTTGTTTCCTTTTGTAAAACCTGCCTGTGATTAGTTAACTGAGAACTACAATAATAAATTGTAAACGTTCACAATAAGGGAAAATTCATATATATCTTCCATTCACATTTTGAACAGTTGCCAACCTGGAGGGGAGAAGTTTACTGTAATACTCTGCCTCACACATCAGTGAAATACTTGATTTAAACCTTGAGAGGTATATCACTAACTCTAAGCTTTTTACTGTATAAGAAACATAATTTAATATGCATCTCATGTGCAAAACCAATCTGTCCCAAGGTATCTCCACCTATTAAAATACAAATAAATTTGCTCTTAGACTTAAAAAGTTTACATTGGCCAAGATTATCATAGATGAAACTCATATCAGGTGAAAATAACACATCCAAATTAGCCATGGAAGAAAAAAGATGCTATACGCCAAACTTGCCATTATAGGTATGACCCAGGAGCAATGATACAACTAGTGCTTTGACTATAGTGGCAATGTTCAAACATTAAACTCCAATTAAAAAAAATACACACGCACTAATCTATAAGCTTCTCCCCATCACTCTGGTCTGCTCTTGGTTATGCCAAAACTAGCTTGTTCTCACCTACCTCCTCAACATTGTTAAATACCGAGAGCAGGTCTTCACATGCAGAGACATGAGCTTGTAGAAGCACCAGAACAAATTTGTGCTGTTGCTTGATGCCCCATTGCACACTTCTGCACGTGTGCTTCAGCACGTAGGAAACTTTCCCGGGTACAGGTAGGGGAGGCTGGGGCCAGCACAGCAGTCTTACCTGGTGGCTTGCTGAAGCATCAAGGGCAGCACAGAGGCCTGGCTGACAGCCAGCTCATTGCTCTGGATGGTCTGGCCTCCATTAGTGCCAGTGCATGCTTGTTTTGCATGCATTGTGACACTTTGTGTTCTGGCATTATTTATTATTTTTGCTACGGATTTCCCAGTAGCAAATTTTGCCACCACGCTGCAGATCTGTAGTACAGACACATTTTCATGTTCCCCGCATGTGGTCCATGGTGCCACAAGCCATGAGCCCTTGCACGTGGGGACCCAACCCAAGAGCACAGAGACAGTAGCATTCAATGATTCACTATGTTTCCATCCATGCATACATGCCTAATAGAAGACTCAACAAGCTACTTCTGGTAGGACATCAGTTTATTAACCAGAGATTTCTCAGATAGGAGGACAGAGGATTGCCTTATCTCCACCATTGAAACTCAGCAGATTAACTGAAAAAGTGGTGCAGTTAGTAGTATCAAAGTCTGCTGCCACAGCCAACAAAGCAAAATGGATGCCTTCACTATACCTACAAGTAGAAGGAAACCAGCTACCAACTAGAAAACTGTCTGCCCCAGACTAACTATCACCAAACTGTGGGGCATGCATGATGAAAGAATGAGAGGATAGTGTTAGAGTAACACCCATCAAAAATCTTGAGCAAAAGTCAGCGAGTAGAGACTGGGTGTTAACTCACAGTGAAAAATGCTATCCCACATAGTTCTTTTTGTGTCTCAAGATGCCCACTGTTTTCCTTGGTAACACCTGCCTGTGATTATTTCAACTGAGAATTACAATAAGCGACTGTAAAAGTTCACAATACAAGAAAGTGTATATGTATCCTCCACTCCCTTTTTGAACAGTTACCTAACTAGAGGGGAGAGGTGTTATTTACTAGCTTGCCTCAAATAGCATCAACAAAATATCTAATATTTGGGACAGTGAAAAGAGCTACATGCTATTAATAACTGTTATAATTATTACACAACTCCTTGAGCAGGGATCTTGAAAAGTGTGTAAGGTCAGATGCCTCCTAGGTAAGCATCTAAGAATGATACAGCTCTTAAAAATATGAGCACTAAGAGATTACAAAATGACTTCGACCAGCCTGTTAGAACTTCCTCTCTATGTCAGCACGATCTGTTCAATTACTGAGACAAATCTACATTGTTTACAATGTTCACTCCTCGTGTTAATAATAGTCTTAAAGGGCAAATACTTGGCTTGTTACCATAGACCAGTAAAAACACTTTTATTTTCTTTCTATTAATAGTCTGACGAACCTGATATTTACATGGACAAAACAAAAAGCTATAAGCATCTTATACCTAATGGTTCTATTTTCCATTATTAAATTACCAGTCACTAATTTCTGTAGTCTGAAATAAAATAATAGAAAATTAGGATTGGAAGGGACCTCAGGCGGTCATCTAGTCCAAACCCCTTGCTCAAAGCAGGTCCATCCAAAACCAGATCATCCCAGCCAAGGCTTTGTCCACCCACGTCTTAAACATCTCAAAGGATGAATATTCCACCCCCCCTCTGGGTAACCTGTTCTAGTACTTTAGTACCCTCCTAGTGAGAAAGTTTTTCCTAATATCTAACCTAAACTTCCCTTGCTGCAACTTGAGACCATTGCTCCTTGTTCTGTAATTTGCCACCACTAAGAACAGTCTAGCTCCATCCTCTTTGGAATCACCTTTCAGGTAGTTGAAGACTGCTATTAAATCCCCTCTCAGTCTTCTCTTCTCCAGCCTAAATAAGCCTAGTTCCCTCAGCCTCTCCTCACTGGACATGTCTACATGAGATGCTACTGCACAGTGGTTGCTGCATATTTATTTAGTACTTGATTATACAACTACTAAATAAACGCGCAGTAAGCGGAGTTACTGCGCAGTAGGGCTGTGCGAAGCTTAGGTAGCTGATTCAATTCAGAGGAGTTTTGGCCCGATTCGGGGACCAAATCTCCAAATCCGAATCAAATGTGAGGACCAAGTAAAAGCTCCGAATCGATTTGAAGCATCTGAATCAATTTGGAAAAAGATTTGGAAAAGATTCAGCTGATTCAGAGATTCAGCCATAGACTAAACAGGCTGCCTCCAGCTGGTAAGTCTGTTGGGGAACGGAAGGGGCATGGGGGAGGGAGGGATTGGGGCTGGGACAAGCTGCCCAGCCAGGGCAGGGGACACGTTACTCAGGGAGGAGGGCAGAAGGGCATGGGATGCGGGTCTGCCAGCGCTGGAAGTGGGGGCTCTTTCCTGCTGCTGCTTGCCCAGCAGGGATGTGGCTCACTCCAGGCAGAAGGGGGCAACTGGCAGCAGGGCACAGCCCCTGCTCCCAGGGCTGCTGCGCCCGCATCCCATACCCCACCTGCACCAGCTGGCAAGTGGCGACAGGGCAGAGCCCCCACTTCCAGCACTGACGTGGGCACGGCAGTGCTGGGACTGGGGGCTATGCCCTGCCCTGGAGCAAGCTGTGCCTGCATCGCGCTCCCCTCCCCGTGCTGGCTGAGCAAGTGGCAGCAGGGCATAGCCACCGCAGCTCCCTCCGCTAGGGCAGAGGCAGGCACAGCTGAAGGAGTTGTGGGAGAAGCCCCCATGGTTGCCCTCCCCGGCCCCTGCCTCCCAGCACATTAACAAAAAGAAGAAAAAGTCCTACACACTCAATGGCTCTGGCAGCGCTGACTGGGAGCCTCTGAGGGCTTGTGGCAGAGCCCCACACTCTGGGGATTGCACCACCCCGCTTGGCAACCACGACAGCTGCTCTATGGCACGGGTGCAGCGTGGCTCGGCAAGGCACTGTGTGCTGTTTGGGAGCTGAGCTGGCTCCAGCAGTTAGCCAGAGACCAGGAGCACTCAGCCCC